TGAAGGGGAATTCCCTTGTGAAAAATATACAGTTGTTTTTATGTTAATTAAAGATGATAGTCAAGACCTGCTGTATTTAAAATTATTATTATTTTCTGTATATTGTCAGTCATCCTTTTGTACATGTGTGCATGTGCATACACAGATGTGCGGTAGGGGTCGGGGAGACATTTGACATAAAAAAAACACAACAACAACAACAGATCAGACAGATTTTTACTTGAACCGAGAAAGAGGGAAACAGAACAAAAATGTTGTAAGTGACTCCTTATAATAACATAATAATAAAATTAATAATATTAATAATAATAACAACTTGATAAACAAAATCATTTTTAAAATTATTTTTAAAGATTTACAGTATCTGTGCAGGGCAGAAATGGACCCAGACGTGTTGTTAGAAAGTGCTATTGAAGTATTTATTCTGTATTTACTATTACAAAAATAACACCAAGAAGACTGCATTTTAAATCAGTGTTATTAGATTATGAATTTATTTGTAACTTAATTAAAGTGTAGAACCGATATCGAATAAAAAACCACCCAGTAGGTGGCGGTAGAGCACTGTCTTAATTCATTCAACTGGAGAAACTGAACAAAGCGAGTAATGGATCAGTAAATATTAGATGATGAAACTGATCGCGTTTGTAGACGACATACATACCAGGAAATATGTTTATATTTATGTTTAAATATAACTTATATTCAGAGCAGCATCAAAATAAAATAAACCCATTATATGATTAAATAAACTGATTTAATAAGTGTAAAGGTGGCAAACATATACTTCCCCTGATAAATAATAGCATATTCCTGCTCAAAATAAATAAATCATAGTTAAACTCCAAGCAGTGCAGTATTGAAACATTTAAACACATGTCCAATACTCTAATAGTCTTAAATCACAAAGTGTAATGTTAATATTTTCGGTTGTACATTTTCCAGAGACGTCTCTCATTCATCAAAGATAAACCTGAACTAAAAATGAAAGTGAACTAAAAACACTGCATTTTCTTCAGACTCCACCTTTATTTGTTTGCTGTAGTGTAAATATGCAACCTCTAAAAACTAAAGCCATAAAAGCAACACATTTGATGACACATTTGATCACTGCATTTAATTTGAGTCCATTAAAAATAAACATTCTGATGCAAAATAATGAACAATCATTAACATGTCACAATTAAAAACACGGCTCACTTCTGGCAATGGCAGGAGACATATGGGCCAGATGTGGCCCGTATGTGTCACACCGGGTGTAGTGTGAGTTGTGGCCTGCTGTATGTGGGCCAGATGTGGCCCGTATGTGTCACACCGGGTTTAGTGTGAGTTTTGGCCTGCTGTATGTGGGCCAGATGTGGCCCTTATGTGTCACACCAGGTGTAGTGTGAGTTGTGGCCTGCTGTATGTGGGCCAGATATGGCCCGTGTGTGTCACACCGGGTGTAGTGTGAGTTGTGGCCTGCTGTATGTGGGCCAGATATGGCCCGTGTGTGACACACCGGGTGTAGTGTGAGTTCTGGCCTACCGTATGTGGGCCAGATATGGCCCGTGTGTGACACACCGGGTGTAGTGTGAGTTGTGGCCTGCTGTATGTGGGCCAGATGTGGCCCGTGTGTGACACATCGGGTGTAGTGCGTGTTGTGTATTTTTAGTTCCGGTTTAACTTTAAATTAACGGTAGCCTTTGAAGTGGTTACAAATTATTAGAAATTGAAAATCAAAGTTAATTTGTCTTTCTAAGTCTGTACACTTTCATTTTATGAAGTAGAAAATAGAAAATAAATATTGTAAATTAATGTAATGTGATGCAAGGATTTACATTTTTCCGATCGGCTACTTCTGCCTGTGGACTGCATACCTAATGAGTGGGAGGGGCTTGCTGCTCAAACATTACACAGACTCTGATGTGAAGCAGCAGCAGTTCTGTGTTTCCTGTGTTTTATTAACATTATTGTCCCTCATCAGGCAGTGAGAGCGCTACACCTTCTCTGAAAATAATAACATTGCATGTTCTAAATAAGACTTTCTGAGATTGAAAATGATTCTTTAGGTTATTAAGAATAGGAATAAGCTATTGCTTATCCGGGAAAGTATATGTTTGTAACCTTATCACATATTAATTCAGTTTATTTCCTCAATAATGGATTTATTTTTACTTTAAGGCTGCTATGAATATAAATTTATATTATCTGTTATATGTAAATGTTCCAGCATGAGTAAAATTCATATTTTTTTTTTCATATTACCTGGTATGTCTATAAATGTCTATAAATGCAACGAGTTTCATCATTTATTATGTTTTGATCCATTAATGTTTTGTTCAGTTTCTCCATTTGAATGAATTAAGACAGTGTCCTACCGCCACCTACTGGGTGGATTTAATTTGCTATTAGTACTACTTTTTAATGAACAATTTTACAAATGAATACATAATCTAATAATGCTGAATTAAAGTGCTGTTTTCTTGGTGTTATTTTTTGCAATTCTACATTTTTACAATGATTTTGTTTGATTAAATGCCACATACAACATTGTTCTTTTTTTTATTTAATTTAAATATTAAATAGACATAAATGTTTTGTTTATGAATAAAATATGTACTATGTAGAAAAAAATGTCAGAGAACTGAGCAGTAGAATGTGAATAACACGAATGTGTTCGTAAATAAGCTGATCTTTGTAAACAACACAAAGTTTTATTTACTTATTCTACAGAACACAAAAAATAATAAAATAAATCTGACCAATTTTAATGCACCTGTAACAGCGTACACAAATTTTATAGACAATATGCTATTAATAAGCATGTTAATTAGTTAATTGTAAATATATCTTAAAGTGTTATAGTTTTTATATAACAAGCTATTGAATATTAAAAATAACAGTAAATATTCTAGAATTACAGCATGTTACATAACAGAGCAAGGACATGTTCACAGTATGTCTGATAATATTTTTTCTTCTGGAGAAAGTCTTTGACTAGAATAAAAGCAGTTTTTTATTTTTTTTTAAAGTGTTTTAAGGTCAAAATTATTAACCCCTTTAAGCTATATATTTTTTCTACAGTTTTAGAACAAATCATTGTTATACCTTGCCTAATTACCCTTACCCTAATATATATAATATTATATATATATATATATATATATATATATATATATATATATATATATATATATATATATATATATATATATATATATATATATATATATATATATATATATATATATA